TCTATATCCACATCATTTTCTATTCGGAATTATAGATTTATATATGATGTATTTAATTTTCATTCATATTTTCTTTTTGGGTGGAACATGAAATTTTAAACAACGGGACCTGTTTTATCGCTCTTTCAGTGCATACGCAAATACTGTGCGCCACTTTTACACTTACGTCATAACGGTGCGCAGGTTCTACGCTGAAAGAAGCGTGTGAGAGGATGCAGCGATAGATCCAGTTGTTTATTTGATATTTTCAGGCTGTCAAAATGAGGGATATTCCGCTGTCAAACTGCGAGAGGCGTTTTCTTCTTAAAGCTATAGAAGAGAAAAAAGTAAGTTACACCTTGTGAATATAATTTGGATGTGATATCTTTAGTAATAAAATGTTTTGCTTATTGCCATTCTACAATCCACATCTCTATTTTACCAGCTAAACCATATTTCTGTATTCTGTAGCGCTTAGATGGGAGACAAACATATGATTACCGGAATATTAAAATCACTTTTGGAACTGATTATGGCTGCTGCATCGTGGAACTTGGGAGAACAAGGTATCAGTCATAGTTGCTTTAACATTTACAGTGTTTACAAACGACGTGCTTCCCTACACTACCGATTTAAAGTCACAACAAATAATCACTTGCATGATAAGTGAAGATAATACATTTTGGCAGGGGTACTTCCTCAGAAAACCCACTTTGAACACGTGTTTTTCCTTTCAGAGTGTTGTGTCAGGTGTCTTGTGAGTTGGTCCCTCCAAAAGATTCACGTCCCACAGAAGGCATCATGTTTTTTAATTTGGAATTGTCTCCCATGGCATCACCAGCCTTTGAGCCAAACAGGTTCACACTTATTTACACACAGTCTTGCAAATTATTCTCTTTCTCTCTGTCTCTGTTTTTTTTTATATCCTAATGCCTGGGAGTTTCTCAATGTGTTTCTGTGTGTGTTTTGTAGGCAGTCAGAGTTGTTGGTGATGTTAAACAGACAGCTTGAGAGGTGTCTGAGGAATTCTAAATGCATCGACACAGAGTCTCTCTGTGTAGTTTCAGGAGAAAAGGTAATATGGATACCTGACATGTAACATATATAAAACACTACCATTGGAAAGTTTGGACCAGTAAATTTTTTTAATGCCATTAATACTTTTATTAAGCGAGGATGCATTAAACTGATCAAAAGTACACTGACAGTAAAGACTTTTAGATTGTTACAGCAAAATCCATTTCATATAAAAACAGAACTTTCTTTTCAATAAAGAATCCTGAAAAGAATCGTTTAAAATATTATTTTAAAACATTATAATGGGTTTCAACAAATATATTTAAGCAGCACAACTGTTTTCAACATTCATAATAATAAGTGTTCTTGAGCACCAAATCAGCATATTCGAATGATATCTAAAAGATCATGTGACACCAAAGTCTAAAGTAATGTAAAATTCAGATTTTAACAGGAATAAATTACATTTTAAAATATATTAACATACAAAAGTTATTTTAAATTGTAATAATGTTTCACTTACTATATACATATTACTGTTTTTACTTTTATTTTTCATCAAATAAATGTAGCCTTAGTGAGCATTTTAAACAGTAGTATAATTCCTTCTCGTACTAAAAAAAACATAGCAGATCATTTATCCCATGTCCCACATGCAATGGCCCTTCACTCGCTGTACCTCTATTATTGATAGGTTTGGCAAATACGGGTTGATGTCCATGTGTTAAATCATGACGGAAACTTGATGGATGCAGCAAGCATTGCTGCCATATCTGCACTCTCACATTTTAGGCGGCCGGATGTTGCTATTCAGGGACGAGACATCACTGTGGTGAGTCTTAAAATCGCAGTCTGTGTTTGGCAGGTGGTTTTTATTCTGTATTAGTTATCTATACTATAATTTTTTTTAACAGTTCAGTCCAGAGGAGAGAGATCCTATTCCACTGAGCATATATCACATGCCTATATGTGTCAGCTTTGCTTTTTTCCTGCAGGGGTAAGAAACATCACATGCACAAAATCTCTTACAAGTTTTACTGGTTTTATTCTGGTGCCAATTAGAAAAACAATTGCACTGGAATTTGTTTAGTTAGTTTTGCCTGTTTATAACTGACAAAATTTGGAACATTTACACTGATTGAAATAGATGGAGTCAACATTGAACTGAACACTGTCTTCTGTTGAGCTGCTTACTGCTGAAGTTAACTTGTATTATTGAACTGAACTGAATCAACGCTGAACTGACTAAGGCTGAATAAATATACTATTGTCTTTTTAGAGCTGCTTTACGGCAGAATTTGCATTTGCCTTATATTTGAT